CAGAGAGAGAATGAGACATAGAATCTGAAGCAGGCTCCAGGCTCCGAGCTGTCAGCACAGAGCCCGATGCAGAGCTCGAAACCATGAACTGTGAGATCATGACCTGAGCTGAAGTCAGGACACTTAACCGACTGAGCCACCCAGGCGCCCCTCCCCTTTCCAAATTCTGTTCATTCACTGAGGTCAAATCATATGCAATGATAAAATTTTCTCTGAAGTGGCCATGAATTTATAATCAGTAGTACATGATTTCATTATTTTCTCATCAGCTATGTTTAAAGTTCTTCAGAACAGGAAAAATGTTGCATGCTTTTGATCTATCTTACAGCTTCTGTGTGATAATAGGTACTTAATACACTTAAGTGTAATAATCAGGCAGTGCAACCAGGTTCTCCTCTTGGAATCGGCCTCATCATTTTATAGTCATGACTTCTGGAATTTATTGACCTATCATTCAGGTTATACATACCAGGCCTTCGTGGTGCTGGGTTTTGTTCCTGGTGAGCATCAAACACTTGGAAACTTATAAAGTCACAGATGCTAAAATCCCACCACAAGCCTTCAGAATCAAAATCTCCAGAGGACAAAGCCTGGGTATCTATATGTTTTGAAAGCTGCTTAAATGAATCTAATGTACAACCATGATTGAGAATCCTGCCTCCTGTGGGCCAGTTCTCTCTGAAACTATGTCAACAGAGGTCTCTCAAGTACAGGAGCCACTTACAGACCCAGCCAACAAACGAAGCACACACGTCATTGCGATAGGATGGTATTAGGATTGTGCCTGGGTGCCCACAAACAGGTTACGTACAAGAGGAAGATAGCTCAGGGTAAACATACATTTTGTACAGGGTTTCCTCCTTGAAAGCAGTTTTTAAAACCCTCCAACACAATGACCTTGGAGAGTGAGGATCGGAAGACAGAGTGTGAAGCCTTGTCAGAGAACTGGAGAGACAAAAAACAAAGCTGGAATTATGGGTAGGTGGCCATCTAGAGAGAGTGATTTTTTTAAAGGCCTATTGACTTAAAATTCCAGCATGAAAAACTCATCCTTTTGGCTTAAAACTTCATCTCCTGTTAGTATGGAAATACCTGTGAATCACATTGGAATGGGTTCATCATATCCTTACCTGAGAACACATTGTGATGGGGCACGGGGAAAGATCTGGCAAAAAATGGACGGAAGGCTGAGGAGCTGTTGCCAATGGAGGAACCATGCTAAGCAGGGCATCTCGCAGGTGGTGGCAGCTGGACAAATATTGACAATCTGATTTGCTGTCATTTAAAAAGAAAACTGGAAACTAAGATGGACTCTGGAATGTTCTATATTTGCCCCTGACTGCCCTGCTGAGGTGAGGAACTTCTTGGCTCCCCCTGGCCCATGTTGCTAGTTCCTGAATTGAGAAGAAAGCAACTAGAGAGCAGCCCGACCCCCCTGGGAGGGGGCCTTGTGGTCTAGGCTGGCCAGAGAGTGAGAGCTCTGAGCTCCAGCACCAGGGTTTTCCTCTGACTCGCTGTGTGGCCCCCGGCCAGTCTCCAGAACAGCTCCATTTTCCTTGTTTGTCAAACCAAGATTAATACCTCACTTCCCACCTCTCTGGGGCATTGTAAGATTTCGCCCTGCCACCTTCGTTAGTATTTGTCCAAAGACTGTAAGAAGAAAGCTTGTAGGAAGTTTTAAGACGACTTGTTTTTACTCTTAGCATTTTTCTGCTAGGAGAGCTCCTGTAGCGCTAGGTGGGAAGGAGAAGGTATGGGAAGGGCAGGAAAATGGAGGACGTAACTCCACTCGGAAAAGCAGTGTTTGTGGTGGAAGAGAAACATGAAAGGGGGGCTGGGGTACAGGGGAGAGAATTCTACAATTGGTAGCAGATGCCATCAGAAGCTAATGACCTGACAAACACCGTCCTCATAAAACAAATTCCTTAAAAAGGAAGCAAATGGAAATGTAAGCTAGTGAAAGAATTTGCAACAGCTGCCCTAAAACCATTTCTCACTTCATAAACAGGTCTGGGTTTGGTGCCTTTTTTTTTTTCCTTTCTTGGTCTAATTTCATGCCACACTTTCCCCCTCTTCTGTGCTCCCCTGTCTCACTCTTCCTCCTTTGCTGCCAATGCTGGAAAGACTTCTTACACCGGTAGCTATAGCAACAGCAGTGAATAGAACCCCATCTTGATGGAAGGAGCCTCATTCAGAGTATTTGTTCTGTGTCTTATCTCAGCACGGATTTGTCCTCAATGATGACATGGATTAATTAATTGGATGGAGTCACTGACAAACAGCACGTGCTATTTCACATTAATTTCCTGGCAACAAGCTGACAGGAACCAGAACTGTTAATGACTCTGTTTTCTCATACTCTCTGTTTACCATGCTGAAGAAATATTACTTTCTTGTGGACATCAAAGAATGCAGCATCTATGAAACTTGGAGTTCTGTAGCATCCCTAATAAGGTGTTCTGATCTCATCCCTTGGAGGATGGTCAGGTTTCAGATCCCTCATCCAAATAGGTTTGATAAAGACTCAGGGACAAAGATTTATCTCCTGTACTGGATACCCAATTATCAGCACTGGATGTGGGGAATTTGTGTTGAGAGTTAACAACCCCTACCCCCTCATTCATATATTCCTCCTTCCACAAGACTCCATGGAATGAATCTGAGGGATACTATACCACTAAAGGGAATAATTGGGACTCAGAGGATTGAAAAAGTTTCTTTCATATCACTCAATTCCAGTACCTCTATCCTATACCTAATAAGCCTAGATAAGACAAAGAATGACACTGACATATGACTTAAATCCTATGATTACAAGATAAGAGGAAGCAACTTTAGCATATTCAGATCAAATCCATTCTTTTTGAATTAGTGTGCTTTCTTTTTTTAAGTTTTATTTATTTATTTTGAGAGAGACAGAGACAGCATGAGCAGGGGAGGGGCAGAGAGAGGGAGAGAGAGAATTCTGAGCAGGCTCTGCACTGTCAGCACAAACCCTGTTGTGGGGCTTGAACTCATGAACCGTGAGATCATGACCTGAGCTGAAACCAAGAGTCAGACACTGAACTGACTGAGCCACCCAGGCGCCCCTTGGATTAGTGTTTTTAAAATCAGTTCTCAATTATTTCAAGGTGGTATGTGCATATTCCCTTGAATATTTTATTTTTCACTTTTTACATTGTCCAGCTTTTTAATGAAGTCATTGACTGCTAACATAATTCTAGGGCCTGTTATGGCCCTAGAACAAATTAATGATGATGGGATTCACAGTATCATTTCAACTAATATTTAGCACCATTGGCAACAATGTCAAAAACAAGAAAATATAGGAAAATGTCTTGTTGGTCACCTCAACTAGGTTATGATTTCCTTGAGGGCCTGATAATTATTGTACCCCCAGTACTCAAACAAATACCTTGCCAACAATAAGTATTCAGTAGATGTTTATTAGTGAATGAATCAGTAGGGCAAGATGGTTGAATCACTGTTTGATGATACTATTTTTGTGTTTCAGATTCCCATCTGTCATTTTAAAATTCAACAAATTATCCATTTTAGTAGCCATTGACTTACTTTGATGCATGAACAAATTTAATTCAGCCAACTTTTATTGTGTTTGCTACAGCAAGGTATATGGTGAATATAAAAGTGGGTCAGAGTCAGTATTTGTCTTCAAGAAGTTCATAATCTGGATGGAAGTTTTAGCACTTAGGAGATACTCAGATCCTAATTGCCTTGTAGATCAAAGGATGGGTAAATTAAAGAACAAGCAGATGTGTCCATGACTATAATACAGCATAGAGTAATAGAAGTGTTAGAGGAAAATTATTTTTAAAATTTCCCTGGAAGACTCAAAGGAGGAAAATATCTGGGGCTTCTTGGAGAAGAAAGGCCTTTTAGAAATCTCAACAATTTGAACAAAGGTACAGACATGGGAAAAACGAAAAGTGTGGAGCGCTAACAGAGAACAGGCCACTGAGGGTGGGCCTTGGGCCGTCGGCAGTGGAGCAGTAGAGGGGATTAACCTGGGAACAATGACAACACTGGGATATGTGCCTTTATTTTCCTCTTCTTATGAGGGAAGGGGCTGAAACACTGGGGAATGAATAAGTCAACCAAATCACTCAGATACTAAGTGGTGGATCCAGGATCCAAAGTCAGACAGTATGGGGCCAAGGCCCTCCTTTTTCATCTCTACACTTGTGCCTTGGGAAGAGGGTAATGAGCTTTTTGCTCTTGCTGTAATTATGGTCCAGACTGAGTCACTCTGAACCTGGAGAGTTAAACTCTCTTTTCCATTCTTGGTTGATTGGCCCGAGAGCTCTTCTGCTGAGATGATGTCCCCAAAGCACCTGGCACAACGTCGGCGCATGGCAGGGATTTAGTATGTGTGAGTTTCCTCTTCTTGTCATGGGCTCAGTTTCTCATCAGCCAGTGCTGATGTTCAGTGGTGTGTAGTGCTGTGGCTACAGTTGTCAAAAATAATTCCACACCAATCAGTAAATGAGTGTTGCCTTTTCTGCTACCTCAGATACCCAGACCTTTCGTACAGGGCTCTCTGGAGTCCATCCGTAATAAGACAACTAAAAGGTCAGCGTATGACACAACCAGGGGCCTCCTGACCTGGGTCTGCTCTGATTGTTTGGGACTGGTTGCTAAACATTTCGAGGATTGCTCTCTGGTCTGTCCATCTCTGATGCCATCCAGAGCTCTTGGGACATGTTCCCCACCTTGTCTCGTCACCATTTTGTTCTCCTTCCTGGAAGAGCCATAGAAAGTTGGCTAATCATTCATGACCTGTTAGTTGATATTGTCCTTGTTTATTTTATGTCACACAGTTCCAGGTCATACAGAAGGAGGTGATGAGTTCAATGTTGGGCTTGGAGAAAAATCATTCTCTTTGGTTTAGAGGCACTTTCCAGGCAGGAAGCTGCAAAGTCTTTGCTGCTGCCCACTGGTTTGGAGTTAGTCTAAGATGCTGTTGTTTCTGTCATCCCCAGCTGTGTCCATCGGCCCTGTGGAGAGCAGGACAGCTGTGCGCCATTGCTGCTTGATCATGCGGATATGGTGAACTGTACCCCTGGTGGCCCAGGTCACATGAAGTGTGCTATCGCCTGCCAAAGGGGGTTTGCCCTTCAGGCCAGGAACGGGCAATACCTCAGGCCCATGCAGGTGAGTTGGAAACCCGGGGTCATCACAACCAAGCTCCTGGGGAGGGAAGGTACTTAATGCTCCTTTCCCTGGCTGAATTGGGGAAGGGTAGGTGTTTTTCAATCATTTGGAAGGAAAGGTGAGTACTCTAAAAAGCAAGGAGAGTGTGGCTTCACAGAAATGCAAGGTGTATAAGAGCACGTGCTGTTCTCATTAACTAGGGTGCCCATTTCTCTCACGCAGACAGTAGGTAGAGATACTTATCCCATTATCCGTCCTTGTTTTTGTCTTCCTGCCAGAAATCATGGTCCTACTTTTGACATCAAGATGAGAATGCCACACGTTAAGACTTGTCCACAATTTGTAAGCAAGATAGGTTGTAATCAGCTTGTCTGTGGCTCATGGTTTGACCCCAAGCCCCCCTTACAAGAAGATTGGAGAAAGAGCCTGGTTTTCTTCCCTTTGTTACTGAGGTGGGGAGTATATCATGGTTCTGCCTTTTACCTAATTTTCCACAGTCTACAGCTACCATATTACCATTTCCCAGCATTTGGAGGTAGTAGAATATATTACTTAAGAGGGTGGCTCATGCGACAATCACAGAATGAAATTTTGGCTTCACGGTTTATTAGTTGTATAATTTTAGGTAAAAAAAAAAAACAAAAACAAAAGAAACTAATCTCTTTAGGCGTTCTTCCATATATGTGAAATAATGAGGACAGAAATATTTATGGCATTGAGTTATAATGATGACTGATTGGAAATAATTTAAAAGCTTCAAGGGATCCCTGGGTAGTCCAATTGGTTAAGCATCTGATTTTTTACTTTGGCTCAGGTCATGATCTCACAGTTCATAGGTTTGAGCCCCGTGTCAGGCTCTGTGTTGACAGTGAGGAGCTTGGGATTCTCTCCCACTCCTCTCTCTGTGCTCCTTCCCAACCATTCTCTCTCACTCTCTCTCTCTGTCTCTCTCTCAATAAACAAACATTTTTAAAATTTAAAAGCTTCTAGCTAAATGATAGGCACATAGCACTCTCTTAAACTGCCATTACTATGAGTGTGATAATTATTCTCAACTAAGACTTCTGTTTTCCATCTTTCCTTAGGGAGCTTTCAATATTCTACTGAGGGAATCTTTGAACTTGAAATCAACCATTAGAAAGCCATGACCATAATATGAGACAAAGGATGCATTAGGGAAAAGATAATGGTGCTTGAGGAGAGAATCAGAAAGCCGAGGTAGGAGGAGGCAAGAAGGGATGTGAGACTGGTAGTCAGGCGTCAATGGTTGGACTCTTTTGCCTTTTGTACCAACTCACTACCTAGCAGGTTGTGGATTCACGGAAAAACCTCACTTGCTTCAAGATGGTCTGAATTGAAAGACCACAATAGCTGGCCTCAGGTGGTTTGGGCTCTTTGTAAAGAGAAACAGTTTTAATATACCTTGAGGCACCAACTTTTTGGTCTGTGATGCTTTGGTCTGAAAGGCAGAGCTCTTATTACCTGTTCTTAACCCATTCTAACTCACACTAAAAAAGATAGAAGGAATGAAAAGGAATTGAAAAACAACAAAAAAGTAAGTATTACATACATTTATGTAGGGGGAGGGAAGAAAAGACAGTATTTGCAGTGCATTAAAGTTAGGGGCGACGTCAAGACAAAATGGGCAATACTTAATGAAGCCAGGAGAAACAGATAGGCAGGGTGTGAGACAGAGGCTGTGATTGTTGTGATTTGAGACAGGCCTCCAGGCTGCGATCAGTGTGTGAGGGGCAGAATCTGCGTCGGGAGGAGGAATGTGGGAGCCCACCTCTTGCCACCCATATGGTGGAGTTCGCGAACACAGCTCCTGGTCCCCGAAGCTGGCCCCATCGAGGAAGTTATACAGTCCCGGCTCGTGATCACAAGACAGTGGGGATATTTGCTTTTTGTTGACACAAGAACTGAAACTAAACAGAAAAATGTGTCTGGCTCTGACTTGGATCCTTCTGGCAGGCAACAGGGAAACGCTGGGAAGAGGGAGGAGCAGCTGTCCAGGAGTGGGCGTCAGGGGTGACAGGTGCTTTCACCAGTCATTTTACCTTTGGCTTTGCTGCCACTGTGGTCTCCTGGCGGCATGGCTCCTGGACCACAGGCTCCCCCGGCTCTCATTCTGACCTGTGGCAACCTGTTGGCTGGAGAGAAGGCTGTGCTCTTTTCCAACAAGCCATGAACTTCCAGGCCTCTTGGTTTCTACTCATTCTGTTCCCCTCACTCTGGACACTTTCTTCTCCTCTTCCCCTCTGCTGATAGGAAGTCCTGCTCATCCTTCACAGGCCAGCTCTGAGTCACCACCTCCGTGAACCTCCCTGCAAACACTTACCTCCTGCTCACAGAGGGGCGCCCCCTCCTCTAACCCCGACCCCCCCCCCCCGCCGCCATCTCACCACCACAAAACAAGCATCTAGATATGATAGGGCTGTCTCCTTTTATGTTTTTATTTTTTCTCTCTTGTTGGTCCCCATTTGCTCATTCTTTCATTTCATCATTCGCATCCTTTGTAGCGTATTCTTCAAAGCATTATAGAAAGGAGTGGGCTATAACGAATAGAAAGCTATCTCTTGCATTTTCCTTTCTTGTTGCCTTTTGTCCCTTCCATTCTCTCTTTTTCTTTCTTTCCATACTTCCCTCTTTGGTTTTCTGAGCCATTGTTTCACTCTGTGATTTGCTGTGCTGCTAGATGATGAGGTCCTTGAGGGCATCTTGTTTATCCAAACCTACACAGACCTGGCCCTTCTAGGTGCTCAATAAATGTCACTTCATTTATTCAGTGATGATGAACCCTAGGGCCACCCAACAAAAATGACAGGCTGAGGGAACTGGCTGGAACCTCTCCAATTTAACCACAAGGTTTGGAAAGTGCCTTGTGGGCATTAATTCTTGGCTGTTTTTGGATGCTCTGCATCATGCTCAGCAGAGATACATATGTTCATAGCATTCATTACCAGTTAGCTTATCCTTCAGGGTGTCAGGAGGAAACAGATGACATGCTCTGAAGTGGGCCATGTGAAAGACTTTAATGCAGGGGCTACCTATGAAGGGGGAGACAGGATACATGGACATTGTAAGGATAAGGTGCAGGATCCCAGGGGGGAGGGGTAACATCACCTATAGGCCTGAAGAGTTGACTGCAGGGAGCAGTTAGTAGAATTCACAGGAAGAGAGTGCAGGCGAGGATGGAGAGGGCCATCAAAAGACAAAGCCAAACGGGCGGTAATGCCCTAGGGAGGGAGTAGGAAGACTGAGCACCCTGACTTCCCTTTCCTTCCTGGCTCTGCAGTGTCCCACCTGTGGGCCAAGCACAGTCTGAGGAATGAAACCCCCAGGGGCACAGAACATGGTGGAGAAGGGCACAAAGTGGATCCAAGAGCACAGGGGGAGAAGCCAAGAGTTGGCCTGTAAGAGTGTCTCCATTTCATGATTCTCCGATACTAATAGGGGTGGCCGGCAGCTGTCCACCTGGGCATTGTGAGACTGTTTCAAAGCCAATAGGGCGTAAAGAGGGAGCAAGGCAAAGTAATTTTACCTGTTTTGAATGTTTGCACCACTAATCACCAGGACTCTTCCAAAAGCCTGGAAGCTACTTTGATGAGCCTTTTCCTGTGTCCTTGATGGAGGAAAATTCTCTGTTTCTAGAAGGAAATTCTGCTCACATGTGCCTCTGGGCACTGGGACCGGGCTGTGAGCTGCAAGCCCCTGGATTGCGGCGTTCCCGACCCATCTTTGGTGAACTATGCAAACTTCTCCTGCTCCGAGGGAACAGGCTTTCTGAAACGCTGTTTCATCTCCTGTGTGCCACCAGCTAAGCTTCAAGGTATTGTTGGCCAACCGGGAACCAAATGCAAGTTCACTTCAGCCCCTCACTCTTTGGGGGACTCTGGGGGGGTCTTTCCTTCACCCCAATACTCTTCCCATTTGCTCTGCCACCATCCCACCCTCTCCAGATAACACCACCAAAATCCCAAAGGTCAACACCTTTCTTTGTCCCAATGATGTGAAAGGATGCGTTGGCTGAGGTCTCATTAATGAAAGACACTTAGATGTCCCTCTTTTTATTTGATTGTATATCATCTGGAATCAAGCTGAGTAACAGTTGCCTGATTACGTTAATATTTAAGAAACACTTTATGATACACATTTTTAATTTAATATTTACAAGCTTCCTATGAGTTAGGTGCTTTTAGTTCTATTTTATAGATGAGAACAGAGTTATAGGGTTGCCCCGGGTGTGCTGATAGTAACAGATGAAGATAAGGTAGCCGGCCCCCACCCCAACCTTGCTCTTTACCTCTCTGGTGTGCCCAACAAGGACCCAGGAGGCTTGTTACAAATTCAACATCCTGAGCCTAATGCCGACAGAGCCTGATTTAGTTGGTCTGAGGTGGGTTGGTGATGTGACTGTGGGAGGTTCACAGATTGCATTTGGAGGGACCGTGAATTACCCGGGGGCATAGAGTGGGGTATTTATGTACAGAACTCTGCAGCCAAACTGCCCAGGTTCAAACCCTGCATCTGCTGCTCTGGAAAGTTACCTAAACTCAGTGTCCTCATCCGCAATAAAAGATACTGATGGTATCTGTTTCAGTGGGTTGCTTGAGGTGTGAAGGTTACACAAGTATTGTAAAATGCTTAGAACAGTGCCTGGCATGTAATAAGCACTACAAAGGTATCCCCTATGATTATTATTATGCTTTCCACAATACTACCAGTAATGTATTTTTCTTATTTGTAGTTGGGAAGGGAGGTAATGGTTTGGCTGATAGCCATTCCCCTGTTCCAGTCAGGAAGTACTTACCTGACCTCAGTTCAGTGTAAGGGATCACAGGAGATGCTCAGTGGGGAAAAAGAGATAGCATGAACCCTAGACCCGAGATGTTCGAGAAGCTTCTCAACAAAGAATTGTGTGACTTCCCGAGAACGCTGACAGGTTGACAGCCTTTTTTGTTCTTTTCTGCTACACGTTGGTTTCCGGACTCTACCCTGAGCATCCTATGCTTTTCTTCCCTGGGGTCAGGACGGAACCCATGGCTGACCTGTCTTGAAGACGGACTCTGGTCCCTCCCTGAAGCCTACTGCAAGTTGGAGTGTGATGCTCCCCCTGTAATCCCAAATGCCAGCCTGCTCCTGCCTCAGTGCCTCCAGGGCGGCCATGACGTGGGCTCCGTCTGCAGATACGAATGCAAACCAGGCTACTACGCTGAGCCGAGTGCGGAGGGTAAAGTCAGGAGGTAAGCTGACTTGTTCCAGGATCTTTGAAGTCCTCTCTACCCTCGACCTCTCACTTGTAAATCCCAGGTCATTGTTCTGGAAATATTAAGATCTTCTGGGTTGTCCAGTGCTTGTCGTGTTTGTTTTTCTATCTCATCTCTCTTAACCTGCACAGGTGTGTTGCCTAGTCACTGCAGACAGGTTGACCTGGTGTGCTTTCTGTAAAAATAGTCCTTCCTATAGGTGACCCATCAGCCTCACTTAGGTGCTTTTTATTTATTTGTTTGTTTGCATTTTTTTAATGTTTTATTTATTTCTGAGAGAGAGAGAGAGAGAGAGAGACAGCATGAGCAGGGGAGGGTCAGAGAGAGAGGGAGACACAGAATCTGAAACAGACTCTAGGCTCTGAGCTAGCTGTCAGCACAGAGCCCGACGCAGGGCTCGAACCCATGAACCGTGAGATCATGATCTGAGCCGAAGTTGGACGCTTAACCAACTGAGCCACCCAGGTGCCCCTGTTTGTTTGCATTTTTAATTAAAAAAATTTTTTTAATGTTTACTTATTTTTCAAAGAAAGAGTGAGACAGAGTGTAACTGGATGAGAGGCAGGGAGAGAGGGAGACCCAGAATCTGAAGCAGGCTCCAGGCTCTGAGCTGTCAGTGCAAAACCTAACAGGGGGCTCGAACTCACGGACTACAAGATCGTGACCTGATCCAAAGTCAGACACTTAACCAAATGAGCCACCAGGCACTCCATTTTAGCTGCTTTTTAAGAGAATCTGTGCCCGGGAGTCACCTGGTGGCTCAGTCAGCTAAGTGTCTGACTTGGGCTCAGATCACGATCTCACAGTTTGTGAGTTTTGGGCCCTGTGTCGGACCCTGTGTTCACAGCGAGGAGCCTGCCTTAGATTCTCTGTCTGCCCCTCTCTCTGCCCCTCCCCTGCTCTGTCTCTCTCAAAAATAAATAATGAACATTAAAAATAAATACATTAAAAAAAATCTCTGCCCTAATTATTGTTTTCCTTGAAAGTAAGTGTTGGGAGCTTCCCACGTGTTATTAAGCATGTCCCCCAAATCCAACCGTGGGCAGAACACCCTCATCAGGACGGTTGGGAATTTATGATTGTGGCTCCAGGAGAAACTGCCTGGGCTGGTCCCCCACGCAGACATCTATTACCTGTGTGATGCTGGGAAGGCTTCTTTCTCTGCCTCAGTCTTTCTCATCTGGAAAACAAAGACAGTAATAATAATATCTACTTGATAAGGCTTGTGTGGGGACCAAATTAATTAATCAGTTCATTACTGAAGCCTAAGCTTTGGTATTTATTTTAAAAACATAAAACTCAGTACATATTAGCCATTACCATCATTGTAGTCCGTCTGCCGTCTCCCTCCTGGGCTCTATGTGTGCTCACGCTCGTAGACCGGAATGCCTGTCTTCTGATCAGAAAGAACAAAAGCTTCACAGGCTCCGTTTTAGAGGAAGGACTTTGAAGACCTGCTGGGCTTCAAATCCCAGTCATCTCCCCTTTTTATCAGCTGGGTTACCTCAGGCAAGTTATGGAACTCTTTGAGTCTTGGTCTCCTTTGTAAGTTGAGGATAATGCCCACATCGGTGTCGTGTTGAAGGTGGCGGGAGTTAATGCACAGACCCCTCCCCCACCCCCACCTCCATGCCCACCTCGTGCCAATTGCTCAATAAAGGCTTTCAGAAAAAGAAGGCTTTTCTGAACAAACAAAACAAACAAAAAGCTTTCAGAAAAAGAGAACTCTTTGTACTCAGTAACTGGTAGCTTTTCTTTCCATATCATGATTTATGCAGTATAGGAGAAAATCAAGTTCGTTTCTTACCCAAGATTAATTAAAAGTCTCATCACGATAGGTATTTTTTTAAAAGATGGATTTTTAAAAATATGTTTTTAAATGTTTTATTTATTTTTGAGAGAGAGTGAACAGAGGAGGGGCAGATAGTGAGGGGGACAGAGGATCTGAAGTGGGCTGTGCACTGACAGCAGCGAGCCTGATGTGGGGCTTGAACTCATGAACTGTGAGCCAAAGTCTGATGCTTAACTGACTGAACCGCCCAAGCGCCCCTGGCTTTTGTTTTTTGAACTACCAAAACAATTGGTAATCCCAGCTATGGCATTACCAATGAGGCCAAGGGATACAAGCTTTGCTTATTAGCTAGAATTCTTTAAGGAGACAGAAGAATATCAGAACACTGACTCTCTGGCTCTCATTTGATCTTTGCTAGTCTGTACTCAGCCATCTTTCTGTGGGGTGCGTTGAGTCTGACTTTGCACAGAGCCCTCTGCTCCAGAGAAAGCCCAGGCTTCTACATGTGTGAATGGGTGAGTTGTCGGGGCCAGGGGTGGGAGAGGGAGATGGGCAGGGAGCAAGTCAGGCAAGAGCCAGGCTGATGAAAATATGAATAATACTGATGAAAAATTCATAAGAAGCAGCACGGGGTTCAGTGGACTCTAGCAGGTACAGTCAACAGTTTTTGACAACTGAAAACACATTTGCATGTGATTTTCATAGGATCCAGATAAATTTGCATAGGCACGCCTTGATAGGCAGTGAGGACCGGGGCCACCTTCCGGCGGTATTACAATTCACCTGCAGGCTGCTGTTTTCTGGTTTCTTCCTTCTCCCTTCTTGCCTCCCTTTTCTCAGACCTGTACCTGACTCAGGTATCTGCAGAACAGAGCAGAGGAGAATAATTGAGGGGGGAGAGAAAAGTCTCAGGACCAGGAGGAATTAAGGGTGGAGGGTTTATTTCTAGTTCCCTTGGCCCGTGGCTGCTCTTTGTGTTGAGACCGAGCCTTCCCCCCTAGAACTGTGGACTTTCTGCCTTACCCTGCACCTCGGCCTCTCAGGCTTCCGCAGCCCGGGCAGGGGCACACAAGGGCCATTTGTTGGCATAGCTTTTCTGGTGGAGAAACTGGAAGCTTGCAACATCGGCATCGGTTTTGGCATAAACATTTACATTCGCAAACACAGTGCTGAGGAAAGATTAAATTATTTACCCCACTATGTAAACTGATTTAAATCTTAGTTTACACCTGTTTACATAGCAGGCGACGGATTGGTAATCAGACTTTTGCAAGTCGGGCGTAAATCACTGTCACTTGCCGCTTCTGTTTACCCAATGAACTATGTCAGCCTTGTTCCTCACTTGGTGGAAAGAGCCCAGAGTTGTACGACTGGGGTTCTAAACTTCTTTCTAGGACATGCGAGCGGGAGGAGAAGAAATTGAAAAAAGTGAGCAGGGAGATCAATCCAGACAGAGTGGGCACATGGTAATTTTGTGCAGTTCTATGCCTAGTGGAAAAAACCCACTTGATGGCCAGATTCCCACCTTATTGTTTGCATGACTCTGAACAATGTACTCAATATCCACGTGTCTCAATTTTTGCATCTGTAATGCAAAGGGTAGTAATTTCTCTCCAACAGCGCTCTTTTGAGGCTGAAAGGAGGTAATGCACTGAAAGCATTTTATCCATTCTGATGTTCAGTGTAAGTAACAGGTATTGCTTTGGGTTCATTTCTTTTTAAAACAAGGAAACGACTACCAAAATATTAGCCAAGTACATTCCCTTCCCGCTCTGAAGTCTATTGAACACTGTTTCAAGACAAAAGAAAGACAGGTACAGGATCTGACTCTTCTGTTCGGATCAACCCATTTAAGTTTTGTCCCATTCAACTCAGAGGTGGCAGGGAGGGCCCAGCGGTGGCTACTAGGTCCACCACGTGCATGCTCTGTGTCAGTCTCCTGGTGAGAACTGAGGAACATGCATGAGGAAGGTTCTAGGATCTGCTCTCAGGGAGCATGCAGCCTTCATGTTCCCCCTTTTATGTGCTTTCTATCTCCTTGAAGTATGGCAGAGAGGGAGATGCAGGTACAGGTCGGCACTTTCCTCTGGCCCCGGGATTCCTAGCCCCTTCATCCCAGCATTTGAGAGTGTACCACCCACACTGGATCCAGTTCCTGAAGACAGGCAAAGACAATGGCTTAGGCCTAGGTCAAAGACTCTGACCTTGAAGTCATGGCTAGAGTCAGCATCACCCAAGCCCAATGGCTTCCCCAGAGGGAAATTGAGAAGGAGGGTAAATGGATGTTGGGGGAGCAAAAAAATCAATAAAACAAAAACAAATATCTGTACAGTGGTACAGCCGTATCCTGACATAGCCTGCTATCATCAAAGATGTTTGGGAGAATAATAAAGACATGGGAAACATTCATAATACAATGATAAGTGGATAAAAGCGGGAAAGTAGTTGTTATAATAAATGATATGCTCTCTATTTTCGATGCTAAAATGATATTTTACCACTTTTTTAGTAGCTGGGAATGATTATGATATCAGTAATCATAACCTCTAGGTAGTAGGTTCAAAGGAGATATCTTTTCCTTTTTTCATTTATATGTATTTGCTAAGTTTTCTTGATTTTATAATGAGGTAAATGGATAAACTGTTTAAAAACTAAATAATGAAGCCAGCTATTAAGAGTAGATTGTAGCAGTTTGTGGGGGCAGAGAGTGATAGAAGGAAAACTAGGCAGATCTTTCTACATATGCAAACCCAGGAGAGACCAGCACTCTAAGATGGTGTGAGAAAGGTACATGACCTTTCCACCTTGTGCCCAGATCCTTCCACATTTGGAGGACAAGCACCATCTTTATTCTTGAAGGCCTCTTCATACGTTTTCTCATCCAGTCCTAATACCTCTTCCCTAACCTCCTGTGTGTCCCCTCACTCCCCAAAGCGAAGAGTCTACCCATAGGTGTGCAAGCTTAACCTCCTAACCCCCCAAGCCCCAAAGTGAAGAGTCTACCCATAGGTGTGCAAGCTTAACCCCCCCAAACAAGCTCTCCCCCTCCCTGCTGTCTGAAATGAAGGTCATCACCTTTGCTCTGGACCCCATCTCCCTTCTTAGGGATTTCCCTCAACTCATTTCCCCTTCTCTTTCCTACATCTGCAGCTTCCCTCTTTTACCTGGTTCCTTCTCTTTCATT